AAATTAAAAACAAAACAAAAAAAAAGTATCAGAAAAAGTAAAAAGCAGCAGCATCGGAGATGAGCACTGGTGGTTTATGCCTACAATCCTAGCTACTTGGATGAGGTTGGGACTGTCACAGTTCCATGGCATAAGAGACTACATGAGACTCCTTCCCAACCAATAGTTGGGCCTGGTGGTGTGTGCCTGTCATCCTAGTTTCATGGGAATCTCAGACTGGGAGGTTTGTGTTCCAGGCCGGCCTGTGAATCTCTACCTCAGTGGGAGAAGCTGGGTAAGGCTTTCTGCATGTGTCATCCCAACTATGGCATTCACCCCTCCAGAAAGCAAGATCCTATCAAAAAGAGCCAGTGAAAAAGCGCTGAAGGCGTGGCTCCGTGGTAGAGTCCCTGTCTAGGAAGCCCTTGAGTTTGAACTCCAGTTATCCTCCACTCTTCTTCCCCTTATCGCCCCCCCCCCAAAAAGGCATGAGGCCTAATGTGGCTCACACCTGTAATCCAACACTGGAGAGGTGGATGCAAAAGCTGGGCTTTGCAGAGACTTGTCCCAAAATACAAAAAAATTAGACTAATTTGCTTAAGCAAGTAAAAGTGGTTTTATATTTTCTAAAAATGTTTAGTCTTTTGATGTGAAAATACAAGTAATCATTATGTACATGAACTAATAAGCATAGAGCTCAAGGTCAAATTCAGTAGCATTGTGTATTTTAACTGTTGAAACAAATAGGAAAAGTATTCAGTCTTTTGAACTCTGAATCTAACATTTAGTCAGAATATGTTTATTTTTCTCTCATAGGCCTCTCTGGTTTTCAAATGCTAGTTTCATCTTGCTTTTAAATTTCTGGCCCTTGACTCTGATGACATTTTCAACTTAAAGTGGGGGTGGGGAAACAAGGCTTTGCAACTACCAAATAGGGAACTTTTTCAGACACCACCTTCCCTCCCTTTGTAGTTGTGGCAAAAATAATTTTCATTTAGCATTGCTGGTTTTACATGTATGCTCTCTATTCTTTTGCATTATTACAGCCGTCATTTTTATTGTATTTAAATTTTTATTATAAAGGTGATATACAAAGGGGTTACAATCAGGTAAAGAGTACATTTCTTTTTGGACAGTGTCACCCCTTCCCATATATGTTTTGGAACTGGTATTCAATGAATTCTATCCCTGAGCTATAAACCATTTTGTTACTTTTTTTTTGTCGGTCTTGGGGTTTGAACTCTGGGCCTGGGCGCTGTCCCTCAGCTCTTCAGCTCAAGATGAGCGCTCTACCACTTGAGCCACAGCGACACTTCCATCTTGTTACTTCTTAATATGTCAAGTCATCTGTTTGCTTTGTGAACATATTCTTTTATGTTTTCTCCCTCGTGTTTTTCAATTGATTAGCTCAATTATGACCTCTAAGGAGCGAGACAATCCATTGAGGCACGGTTAAGGTGACAAAAAAAAAATTTGCACATCAGAAAGGGGCCCTGCGACTACCTTGTTCTGGGCTAGATACCCAGAACCAAGAGCAGCCTCTATCACCAAACCTCCAAGCCTCCAATGAGCAGCCTCGACCTTTATTAGATAGTCTGCAAATCACCAAAGGGGAAGGCTTTTCCTTTTCCTTCCTCCTTCTCTGCAGGCCTCTCCACTCTGCACAGGCCTGCCCTGCTCTGCTCCAGGAGGTGCCTCTCCAGAGGAAGAGGCCCAAATGGCTTCTCAAGGAAGCCCCAAATGACCTCTGGAGGTGTCCCAAATGGCCTCTCAGGGAGGCTTGCCCTGCCCTCCACAGGCCTGCCCTGCTCAGCTCCTGTAGGCTTTCCCCTCCTGCTGTCTCTCCACCACCTGGTTGCTCAGAACATGCAGCGGTGCCCCTCCCCCACTCCAAGAGGACTACTAATGGTTTCAACCACCATTCATGCCCCTCCCCCAAGCTGCCCGCTGTCCAATCATGTCTTGACAACAGGCCATGTGGGGCTCGATGCCCCGCCCCCTCCAGCAACATGCCCTGCCCCTTTCTGGCGACAAGCTCCGCCCTAGGCGGCACACCCTGTGGGGCCTCTCCATGCCCCACCCCCTCCAGCGGCCCAGGCTACTCCCGCTCATTATTACATTCCCCACAGGTTTTCACGTCCAATCGAATCATTGACTTTTACGTCCTTCGGACTAAATCGTAAACATTCCCTTCTCTCCCCTGCCCCCCCCCATTGAACAGGCTTAAAATGCAAACTTAACAGATAACAAGGAGGAAACCATAGAAATACACTGATTAACACACTTGGTAAGTCTTATCCTTAAGGAGTGCATCTTCTCAGTGTCTCTGAGCAGTCCATCTTGCAGCCTTCTCTGGATATTGTTTCACTTGAGTGTGGTGGATCCAATGCTGTTTTCTTCAGCTTTAATAGCTGATGGTACAGTTGGCATTGAGTAAGGTCCTTGCCACTTGACTTCCAATTCAGGAGTGTGATGCCTTCTTACCCACTAGTCAAGAAAGAGTGGTGGAGTTTTTCTCAGGAGGCCGGTGACCTCGGCTACCAAAGGATAGGCACATAAAAGAACATTTTGCAAAGCCTGCAGGGACTGTACAAGATTGTGGTTAGAAGTTTCTGTTAATATAGCTTGTGCAACTTTAGGAGCCAAGGGGGTGGTCTACCATAAATTATTTCGAAGGGAGTGAATCCTCTAACATAAGGGGTGCATCTTGCTGGAAGGAGAGCAGAGGGGAGGAGGCTTACCCAGCCATGGCCAGTCTCTGTAATTAATTTAGTTAAAGTTTCCTTTAAGGTCCTATTCATTCTTTCCAGCTGCCCTGAACTCTCAGATCTATAAATACAATGTAATTTCCCATTTATTCTTAGGGCCTTAGCTAATAATTGAGTGACTTGTGCTGTGGAGGCCGGGCCATTGTCAGACCCCACTGCTAAGGGTAAGCCAAAGCTAGGAATTCTTTCATGGTGTAATTTTTAGGTCTTAGCAGTTTCGGTTTTTTTGGGAATGCCTTAACCCGGACTGAAAAAGTGGCCACTAGTACTCAGAGATACTAATAACCATACTTTCCAGGCTTTCCCTCTGTGAAATCTACTTCCCCAAATTCACCAGGTGAGGTTCCTTGCATATGCGTCTCTCCACATGTTCTGTCTCTCCAGCATTGACCTGATGGCAACTTTCTACATACATTACATAGGCTTGTCAGGCTGAGGCCCCACTGGTTTTCAAGACAGTTTTAGGCAGTGGCCCGGGGCAATTTACCAGAGTGACAAATAATCAGATATAAACAGAAGGCTTGAGCCTGTAACCATTTTTCACAATTGCAGTCTCCACATTTGCACACTTATTATCACTGTTTTTGCTTCTTCCTTTAATCTTAATGACTAATAGCTCTAGACGCCCCACTGGTTTTAGGGTGGCCTCCTGAGCTACCTGATCAGCTCAGCTGTTTCCCTGAACCGCAGGGGTCTCTAGTTTCTTTAACTCCTGTTTAGTACTCTGAACCTCAGGCTGGAGCTTAGAGACTTCTTCAGTTTTATCCTCCTCCTTTTCTCTCACGCTTGCGTTCATGATCCCAATCTCCTTCTCAAAGCCTTCCTTCACCTGCAAGTGTTCTGCCAGGGTCACAGAAGAGTTCATTTGACTGTCCAACTGCTGCTCCTTCTCACAGTGCCTTTGCTTACTCTTCAGCTCCTCCTTTAAGTTCTCAATGATGCTATTGAGAGGGTTTTTTCACACCTCCACTCATTCCATTGGGATATGCTGCTTCTGCATTACAGTTATTGGTAAGGATCTTGACAGTCTGGTTGGCCTTTTCCTCTAGTAGCTTCTCTTTCCCGTTTGTCCCGACCTGCAGGACTTCAACGAGGGCAGTGAACCTAAGCAAGAAGGAATGAAGGGACAAGAGACAGGAAGAATGACAGCAAGACAAGGATTCTGATCAAGCTGCAAATTTTTATTTTTCACACAGGGGTATTTATATGCATGGAATAAGGAAGCTTTTCCATTGGCCGTAGCAGCTGTAGGATGCTTGCTTAGGGCAGTGAAAAGGTGGTCCTTAGCAGCTACCTGGTGTTTGTTTGGGGCAGGATGAAAAGGTCGGATTCTGTGAACAGCCTCCTGATGTTCCAGTGAGATAGTCAAGCCTATCATGCAGAGAGACTCCCTTTAGGGCTCCCGATATCTCCCCCTTTCTTATTTAGAAAATTGACCATCAATTGTTGGCTGCTCTTTTTAAGGGGGTGACAGAGGCTCTGTTCCTCTAAGGGCCCAGGGATTTTCTCCGCTCTCGTGTGAGCGACCTCACTCTGGGAGGGGAATTTTACAGGGCTTGGCATGTTTTTTGAGGAGACGGCTTGTGAGTATGCATGCCAACCGTCATGCACCAGAGCTTGCCACTCAGGGGCCTTGGGTTTTGGGATCTCGCAGATCCATCCCCCTTGCAGTGTTATCTGCACCCTTGATTTGAGCATTTTCCTTCCTCCCATAGGTGCATCCTCCCCCAAGCGGAGGGGCCTATAGGAGGAGGGGCGAACCTATCCCTTATGGCAATAGGTCTTGCCTGTTGAATGGTCAGGAGTTATGAATAAGAAGAAGGGTTTTCTAAATAAGAAAAAGGAAGGGGGGGTTCCCACTGGAACAAGCTCATGGCAAAACACTAATTAAAAGCCTGGGGTAAATCCTAGATCTCAATGCTGCGGTCTGCCATATCAAGACGATGGTGATGAACCTGTATGGGCTTAGAAGCCAAGAGATTAATCTGTTATTTAATAAATTCAAACAGGAAGGTCCACGTCTGGAGTTCTAGCTGCATCTGTAAGAGAAAAGGAATTATCCTGGGGGGGGAGGGGGAAGGGGGAAGGTTTCCCCTGGGTTGTGATAAGCCATTCACCTGTTTTATCAAGCGTTCTGGCTTTCACGCGCCTGTTTAACATTGGTATCAAAGGGCGCATTACCCAAAAGTTTAGCATATGTCCAGGTTTTTGAAGATGTTTTAGCCAAATTTTTTTGTGCGGTCTCTCTACATTGTTCCTTAAAGTCCGCATTCCATAAAACAAAATCACCTCCACTAAGGGTGGCGTGGGCCAGGAACTTCCAATCATTAGGGGTGAGCCAGCGCGCACTTTGGTTTTCTAACAAGGCTAACGTATAAGGGGCAGTCGGGCCATATTGGGCACATGCATTTTTAAGTTTTTCAACAAACCGGAGGCTAAGCCTTTTATACTCTTGTTGGCCTTTTCCCTGGGTGGGTTGTTCCTCTTCATCCCCAGTATCCTGTTCCTCATCCTCCTTTTCCTCCTCTTCTGATTCATCCTCCTCACCCTCTGAGGTCCTATCTGTCTGGCTCTGAGTTACTGGAAAGGCGAGGACTGATTGATGATGGCCTGATCTAACCTTAATTTTATTAGGCAGTGTTGGCATATCGGCCAAGGCCAGTGTGCAGAGTTCATAATCAAGGGACCGCAGTTCTTTTAAAAGTTGAAGGTGTTCTCACCTATGTTGAAGGGACTCACGTAAAGGGGCCAAGTTAGGTAAAGCGGGGAGAGAAAAAACATCTGGATCTGGAGGGGCAGTGGGCCCTTGAAGGGCCGGGCCACAAAAGGAAGGGGGCGCATAGGAAGGATGTGGAATATTTGGGATAGAGGGTTTAGTCTGAGGTAGGGGGTGACTGAGTAAGGGGGGCAATCAGGCTGACGATATTTTAAAATGTCATTAATCAAATTCCAATAGGAAAAGGCCGTAGCAGGAACCTTTTCCGAACCAAAGATTTCATAATAATCTTTTAAACAATCTCCTACTCTTTGCCATCTTTTTGCATCTATGATTCCTTCAAAGGCAAACCAAGGACACAAGTCCTCTATGAATGAGAAAAATAATTGTAAATCCCCCTTTTTTTTTTTTTTTTGGTCGGTCGTGGGGCTTGAACTCTGGGCCTGGGTGCTGTCCCTCAGCTCTTCAGCTCAAGGCGAGCGCTCTACCACTTGAGCTACGGTGCCACTTCCAGTTTTCTGGTGGTTTATTGGAGATAGGAGTCTCCACGGTCTCTCCTGCCCGGGCTGGCTTTGAACCGCAATCCTCAGATCTCAGCCTCCTGAGTAGCTAGGATTACAGGCGTGAGCCACCAGCGCCCGGCCTATAAATCCCCTTTCTTAACCCGTGTTCCCCGTGTCTTGAAGGCCTCCTTGGGGTCTAACAGAAATAGATCATGTGACAAATTGCTTGTCCCATAGTGGGTCACTCACCATGCGTCGTCCTCACTCTCCTCCTGGATCTGTCTCTCGGTGGGGTCTGTTGAGGCGATCTTGGACTGTACTTGGCCAAGTTTTCCCGGAGGTCGGTGTTCCTTCCTTAGTCAGAGGCTCGTACCCCACGTTGGGCGCCAGTTGTCCCGACCAGCAGGACTTCAACGAGGGCAGTGAACCTAAGCGAGAAGGAATGAAGGGACAAGAGACACGAAGAAGGACAGCAAGACAAGGGTTCTGATCAAGCTGCAAATTTTTATTTTTCACACAGGGGTATTTATATGCTTAGAATAAGGAAGCTTTTCCATTGGCCGTAGCAGCTGCAGGATGCTTGCTTAGGGCAGTGTGAAAAGGTGGTCTTTAGCAGCTACCTGGTGTTTGTTTGGGGCAGGATGAAAAGGTGGGATTCTGTAAACAGCCTCCTGATGTTCCAGTGAGATAGTCAAGCCTATCATGCAGAGAGACTCCCTTTAGGGCTCCCGACACCGTTTTTCACTTTAGTGTATTTTTTGTGACAGATCTTTCAACTGTTCGCTTTTCTGTTTTTCTGCCTAATGCTCTTGCCATTTCCCAGGCATTCCCCATCAGAGCATGTGTGTCCTTTAACTCTTTCTGAGAAGCAACAATCTCTTTCTTGAGGCTGATGTTTTCCTGATTACTTTTCTTGGCCTCTTCTTCTCTGACATGACACTTCTGTGTCTGCTCTGCTAACTGCTCTTTCAGTTCTTTCTCTGTTGCTTTGAATTTCTACTCACACTTTTCAAAGCTTATAATTGGCATGTAGTTATAGCCTAATATATTCTCTTATCATGTCCAGCTCCTTTTTCTAGGTCTTGATTTCTGCATGCAGTATGAGGATCTCCTCCTGGCCTTGCTTGTAGTCAGCAAGGATGGCGGTGTTGGCATCCTGTGGCTCCTTCAGCCTCTGACTTGTGGCCCCTAACTTT